GGTCCAGGATGGTGGGCGGGGGGAGGGGCTGTGGACGGGGGGAGGGGGCTGTGCGTCCAGGACGACGGTTGGGGGGAGGGGCCTAAGGGTCCAGTATGGTGGATGGGGTGGGAGGGGCTGTGGGTCCAGGACGGTGGATGGTCTCCAGGTTCTGAGGTTGGATCGGGTCTGAAGCAGCTTCACAGCCTGGTTCTCGCTGCTCCACCCGCTGCCCGACACCAGTGCGGGTTCATGTTTTCTTCACTCCGCGTGGGCTCCCGGCTCCCGTTCCGGACGCGCCGCGTGGTGTCTTCCTGACGGCTTTCGGCTCCGCTGTCCCGGAGCCCCCCGCTCGGAGTCCGCTTCAGTCCTGCCTTGCTGTACGTCGTAGGAAAGCCGGTCTGCATGGTATCTTGGTCATGCCACATGAGCGCAGATAATTTTGTGTAAATTCTGTTTGTCCAGGGGCCCTGGCCCCCCGCACTGCCTCTGTCATCTCCTCTGTCACCCGTTGCTGCAAATCCAGGGTCGAGCGGCCGAGTCCGGCGGGTACACCGCGGGGCGGTGAGGGGTTGTCTGCAAAAAGACAGAAGTGAAACTAGAAAGCTCAGCTCCGCTGTTCTGAGCTACGCGCCTCTGCAGGGATTTCTGTCTGTTACGTAAGAGGAGAAATCATTCTGATGGTTGAATAAATCAGCAGCTTGGGGACCAGGTGGCATCTTCCCGGCAAATACGGTGGTTCCGTATTGGCACGCGTGTATCTTACAGTCCCCTCAAATCCTCACTTGTGAACCAGAGTTTCTCTTCTGTTCTAGAACAGAGGTTGGACTGCAAAGCTTAAAGTATTTGCCATCAGGCCCTTCGCGCTCTGAGCCGCGTCCCGGGATACGGAGCGTGCCGGGCTGTCTGTGAAGCTGCGGGTTGGAAGGAGAGGATTTTGGAAGGTCAGTGAACCCTCTGAAATGGTGCAAAATTGGGTTTGTGATGCGTACGTGCGTTTTTGGAGGGCAAGGAACCAGAGCTATCGGAGTCTCAGAGGGGTCGGTCTGTGACCTCAAGACATTTAGAGTGTGGTGTGCATCTGGCCAGGGAGGCTGGGCCTCGTCTGTCCCTGTCCCCTCCCGCTGGGAGATGGGAAGAAGGTCACAGAAAACCCAGAGTGAGGTCGTCCCCCTACCATGTGTCTCCCCCGCCCTCGGCTCTCCTCCTGAAGCACATCTGAGAATCTGCTGCCTGAGAACAACAGACCTCCTTCCCCCAGTGTCAGTGTGGGCCCGGGGTGAAGCCAGGGCTCAGAGTTAGGGCCCTGCGGGGACGGCCTCCCGTCCTGTCCATGCAGGTGCCGGCTGGTTTTGTCAGCAGCAGGATGGCAGGGACAGCATTGTTGCTGAGCTGTCCCTTTCGAGGTGGGCGGGGCTGGGGCTCACCTCTGGGGCTTCCCAGGAGCCTGATGCCCACATGGGCCCCCACTGTTTTGTTTTCTTTCTGATAATTCTCCCCTGCATCTGTCCCGTCTTCCAGGACAAGGGCCTCCCCACCGCGTGCATCGGTCTGATCGTCGGGGGCGGGGGGGGGGGGGGACAACCACTTGCTATGTGGGTGGAAAAAATAGGATTCAAAGAATATCTGGCTTTAATCATCTCAGAGCTTGTGGTGAACGTGGGGAGAAGAGGCTATGGCCACAGTGCTTAGAAGAGCATCCTTGTGGGGCGCCTGGGGGGCTCCGTCGGTTAAGCGGCCGACTTCGGCTCAGGTCATGATCTCGCGGTCCGTGAGTTCGAGCCCCGCGTCGGGCTCTGTGCTGACAGCTCGGAGCCTGGAGCCTGCTTTGGATTCTGTGTCTCCCTCTCTCTCTGCCCCTCCCCTGCTTGTGCGTGCACGCTCTCTCTCTCTCTCTCTCCCTCTCTCTCTCAAGAATAGATTTTAAAAAAACATTGAAGTTTTTTTTAAAAAAGAAAAGAATCGGGGCGCCTGGGTGGCGCAGTCGGTTAAGCGTCCGACTTCAGCCAGGTCACGATCTCGCGGTCCGTGAGTTCGAGCCCCACGTCGGGCTCTGGGCTGATGGCTCGGAGCCTGGAGCCTGTTTCCGATTCTGTGTCTCCCTCTCTCTCTGCCCCTCCCCCGTTCATGCTCTGTCTCTCTCTGTCCCAAAAATAAATAAAAACCGTTGAAAAAAAAAATAAAAATAAAAAAGAAAAGAATCCTTGTTTAAATTTTTTTTTCATTTTATTTATTTTAGAGAGAGAGTGGGAGGGGGGAGGGACAGAGAGAGAGAGACAGAGTCCCAAGCAGGCTCCACACTGCCAGCATGGTGCTTGAACCCACGAACCCTGGGATCATGACCACATGAGCCCCCAGGGGCCCCAGAAGAGCACCCATATTATAACAAATGTTTAAATGACGGCTTTTCCATTTTGAAGTTGAAGCATAGGTATAATCTAATCTATAAACACGATGTTAAATCAATATAACGCCCTGACAGGAATATAACGAGAAAAGGAAAGGGGATGTAAGTGATGAGGAACTAATATGTCCTCACACTAAAAGGCAAAGGGAGTTATTTTGACTCTCACACTCACTTATAAGGAATAAGTTTGGACTTAAGAGAAGAAAATATTCAACAGACATTTCTTAAAGTTTTATTACCTTTGACATCTAGAAATGAGGGCCACATAAACGGGGTCACGCACTGTCCCCGGGAAGTCCACCCAGATGGCACTGTTCATGGCTCCCATGGAGACCCAGGTCACTAGGAAGAGATTTTCCGGAATGGTGACTAACTCCTTGTTTATAGCTGCGAACTGAGCAGGGTACGATCTTCCCTAGATTTGTCAGATCCCATGTCTGGAAAATTCAGAATAGAAACAGTGCCGAGAATACTTTGTTGAGGGGCACCTGGGTGGCTCAGTCAGTTAAGCGACCAACTCTTGATTTTGTTACGGGACCAGGCTGGGACGCTGGCGGAAAACCCAAGCGGCACTCAGAGATCTTGGTGGATTGGAGATTTATTTAACACCGGCGGGCTCAGAGGAGACCGTTTCTCCAAAGATCTGAGCGCCAGATGCAAGTGCGGAGGGTAATTTATCGTCATCAGCTCCCATCCGGGGGGGGGGGGGGTTCGCAAGCTGCAGCAAAGAAAGAAAGAAGAACCCGGAGGAGGGTCTCTAAGCTAGAGACCAGAGTTTGTTTTAGCCCCATTGGCCATCTTTGGTGTTCTCCAGCTTCTCCAACAATTTAGGCTCAGGTCATGATCCTGGGGTCGTGGGATCGAGCCCCACATCAGGCTCTGTGCTGACAGAGCAGAGCCTGCTTGGGATTCTCTGTCTCTCTGTGCCCCTCCTCTAATTGAGCTCTCTCTTCTCTCTCTCTCTCTCTCAAAATAAATCAAACTTTAAAAGGAAATACTTTGTTGGCCTGCAGAAGAGAGTCAGGGTCTGAGGTCACTTTGAGACAGTTTCGGCCTCCAGGGACGCCCGGCGGGTCATCGTCCCTGGAGCTGAGCAGCTCCGCCTGTGCAGGACCAGGTGCGTGTGGCCTCCCTGCTTCCCGGGGCGCGTTGTGGCCCGGACACCTGCACGCTCACAGGACGCTCCCGCAGAGACAGCTTCCCCATCAGGAGCCACTGTTCCGCACAGGAAGTCTCACCCAGGGTGATGGTTTCTGCCTCAGCAGAGACCAAGTTCCCCAAACAGATCAGTGTTGTTCCCTTATTGGCAGTGATACTCGTTCAACTTCGCATTTCTTCTTCTCAGCAGCAGGCATCCTTCCATCCTCGCTGTGCTGATGGAGAATATGGCCTCGTAAGGGAGGGAGACGGCAGATAAGTCAGCCAGTGTTTGCGCCAGATAATTAAGGGCTTGTGATGGTTGCCTGGCAAGGAATAAACAAGGTGTGTTTGAGCGAGTTGGGGGCAGGGGAGTTACCGCAAATAGTGAGTGTGGGGGAGGCTCTCTGAGGAAGTGTCCATGTGAGGAGCAGAGAGAAAAGCGTTCCTGCACAGGACGCAACATGTGCCAAGGCCCTGAGGTTGGAAAGAGTTTGGAGAGGCAGCCAGGAGCGCCACGCTGGCACTCCCGGTCACCCGGGCCTGGTGCTGACTGCTCCTCCCCCCGCACATACGGGCCTGTCTTTTTCCCTCCTGCCTTCAGGCCTCTGCTCCGGCACGATGTCAACAGAGAGGGCTTTCCTGACCACTGTCCAAGTAGCAACCAACACCCAGCCCTGGCGGTCCCTGTCTCCATTTTTCCTTCTTTTGTTGGGTGTCCCCCCTCCGCTGCTTCCCTGCACCAGCACGTGAGCCCATGAGCACAGTCATGGCTTGTGAGTTCGTCTTCTCTCCCGGGTCCCGAAAGGTGCCCAGCACCTAGTGGACACTCCCCACATACTTGTCGAAGAAGTTGTTGGGGAGACAGAGCTGGAGCACAGAAGTCCTTGTGGCCGTCGTCCCCAGGGCTCTGTGCAGGGAGGGGACAGCAGAGTCCCCAGGCTGCCAGGAGGGCGACCCACCCTGGAAGGTGCGGGGGACTTGTGGCTGCCGCCTCAGGCCTTGGGCAGCGATGGTGAAAAATGATCAGATTGGATCAACATTATCGCCGACTTCTTCCCAGTGATTATTAAATGCCCGGTTTTGATGCTTGGGGTCAACTCGGAGTCGATGCCTCCTTGTGATTTGCTCTAATCTGTGTGTCACAGCCTCGGGTTTCCATGGAAACCAGCCCCCACTTGGAGCAAAACACCAGCAGAGCCAAGGCTTACTAAGGCTTACGGCAGGTGCCTCCTTCTCCCCCCTCCCCCTGCCCCACCCCTCCGTCTCCCCCCTCCCCCACCCCTCCTTCTCCTCCCCCCCCCTCCCTTTCCCCCCTCCCCTCCCCTCTCCCTGTCCCTCCTCCTGGCCCCTGAGCCGCATCAGTCTCTCCTTACTTCTGACGTTACAGTGAGAGCCCATTGAATGGGCTGCAGGCACCAGACGCGGGGGCTCCAAGGGCCGATCCCCCCGCGCTTCCTCCGACCCCACAGCCCCGCACTGGGAACACCAGGCCGGATGCGGCTGTGCCGCCGAGCATCCACACAGCCCTGCGGGCTGGCTGGCAGGGGCGCCTGGTTCGTCCGCATTAGACCCATCCTGTGATGCTTTGTGGACAGTGGCATAAAGTACCCCTGCTGGTGCGCTGAGGCGGCCCGGCTGCGGACGGAGGACCGAGGAGCCGGCTGTCTGGGAACGGGCCCAGGGGACATGCGGACGTGTCTCCACCTGCAGCTTTCTCCCGCTGCCTGCGCAGACCTTGAGTAAGCGACTGCGTGAACTAATGAACCGTTACTACAAAGACTGAATGTTTCTGAAGGACTTGGAATAGTGCTTACCTTTAGGCCCACCCCCCCACAGCCGCACCCACAAAGGGTCTTGGCAGCAGGCAGGTCGTGCGGGAGCCCCCATGTCCCAGGGGCCCGCGCGCCATGCCTGGAGCTCGGTCGGCTGTGTCTTCTTTTTCCCGTCTTCTCCGCGGGATCATGGGAGACCCCCTTGACCTTGTCTTCGGAGTAGTGCTCGTGGCCAGTCCTGTGCTGGCGCTTTCTTCCTGCTCCTCGGATGGTCGGCTAGCCTTGTACCGATTCTGCAACCTCACCCAGGTGCCCTGGGTGCCTGGCACCACGGAGATCCTCCTGCTAAGCTTCAACTACATCGAGACTGTCACTGCCTCCTCATTTCCCCTCCTGGAGCAGCTGGGGCTTCTGGAGCTCGGGACTCAGTATACCCCCTTGCGTGTTGACCGAGAGGCCTTCCGAAACCTGCCCAATCTTAGAGTCTTGGACCTGGGCGGGAGCCACATGCATTTCCTGCATCTCGACGCTTTCCAGGGGCTGCCCCACCTGCTGGAACTTCGACTCTTCTTCTGTGCTCTCTCCGATGCCGTATTAAGAGACGGTTATTTCCGAAACCTGGACTCTTTGACTCGCCTGGACCTGTCCAAAAATCAGATTCGTAGCCTTCACCTTCATCCTTCATTCCGGGAGTTGAATTCCTTGAAGTCTATCGATTTTTCCCTCAACCAGATACCCATCGTATGTGAACAGGAGCTCAAGCCCCTCCAAGGGAAGACGCTCTCCTTCTTAAGCCTCGCCACCAATGGCTTGTACAGCAGGGTCCCCATGGACTGGGCCAAGTGTATGAACCCATTCAGAGACATGGTGCTGGAAACCCTGGATGTTTCTCACAACGGCTGGACCGCGGATGTCACGGGGAACTTCAGCAGGGCCATCAATGGGAGCCAGACCTCCTCTCTGGTTCTCGCCTACCACATCATGGGGGCTGGGTTTGGCTTCCGTAACATCCGGGACCCTGACCGGAGCACATTTGCCGGCCTGGCCAGGAGCTCAGTGGTACGTCTGGATCTTTCACACGGCTTTATCTTCTCTCTGAACTTTAGGCTCTTTGAGTCTCTCAGGCACTTGAAGGTCCTGAACCTCGCCCACAACAAAATAAACAAGATTGCAGGGGAAGCGTTTTATGGACTCGACAGCCTGCAGGTTCTCAACATGTCACATAACCTTCTGGGCGAGCTTTATAATTCTGATTTCCGTGGACTGCCTGAGGTAGCCTATATTGACCTTCAAAACAACCACATTGGGATCATTCAGGACCAGACATTCAAGTCCCTGAAAACATTACAGACCTTGGATCTCCGCGATAATGCCCTTAAAACCATTTCTTTCATCCCGAGCATCCCTACTATCTTCTTGGGCAGCAATAAACTGGTGACCTTGCCGAACGTAAGGCTTACGGCCAACTTCATCCACTTGTCAGAGAACAGGCTAGAAGATCTGGACAGTCTCTACTTCCTTCTCCGGGTCCCTCACCTCCAGATCCTCATTCTGAATCAAAACCGCCTTTCTTCTTGCAACCCAGCTCATGCCCCAGCGGGGAGCCTCAGCCTGGAGAAGCTTTTCCTTGGAGGAAATATGTTGCAGCTGGCCTGGGAAACCGGCTTCTGCTGGGATGTTTTTAAGGGGCTCTCCCGGCTCCAGGTCCTGTATCTAAATAACAACTACCTGAATTTCCTTCCGCCAGGAGTATTTAGCGACCTGACCGCACTGAGGGGTCTCAGCCTCAGCTCCAACAGGCTCACCGTTCTTTCTCCCGGCGACTTGCCTGCTAATTTGGAAGTCCTGGACGTGTCCAGAAACCAGCTCCTGTCCCCTGACCCCGATCTGTTTGAGGGCCTCAGTGCCGTGGACATAACGTACAACAAGTTCATCTGTGAGTGTGAACTCCGTCCCTTCATCAGCTGGCTCAACCAGACCAACGTCACTGTGCTTGGGTCTCATGCAGACGTCCTCTGCATGTACCCCGCCTCGCTTGCTGGGACCTCCCTCTCCTCTGTGTCCATGGAGGGTTGTGACGAAGAGGAAGTCTTAAAGTCCCTGAAGTTGTCCCTTTTCATTTTATCCAGTGTTACCGTGACTCTGTTCCTCACGGCTGTCCTCACGGTCGCCAAGTTCCGGGGGCTTTGTTTCCTCTGCTACAAGGCAGCCTGCAGACTGCTGTCCACGGACCACGCCAAGGGCAGCGGGTCTGACGTGTACAAATACGACGCGTATCTGTGCTTCAGCAACAAGGACTTTGAGTGGGTGCAAAACGCTTTGCTCAAGCACCTAGATGCTCAGTACAGCGACCAAAACAGATTCAACCTGTGCTTCGAGGAGAGAGACTTTGTCCCGGGGCAAGACCACATCGCCAACATCCAGGACGCCGTGTGGGGCAGCAGGAAGGTGGTCTGTCTCGTGAGCAGGCACTTCCTCCGAGACGGCTGGTGCCTCGAAGCCTTCAGTTACGCCCAGAGCCGCTGTGTGTCTGACCTCGACGGTGCCCTCATCCTGGTGGTCGTGGGGTCCCTGTCCCAGTACCAGCTGATGAAGCATCAGTCTCTCAGGGGATTCGTGCAGAAGCGGCAGTATTTGAGGTGGCCTGAAGACCTCCAAGATGTCGACTGGTTTCTTAATAAACTCTCTCAGCACCTTCTAAAGAAAGAAAAGGGAACGAAGAGAGACGGCGACATTCAGCTACAAACCATAGTGAGCGTCTCCTCATCCGCTAATCCCAAGCCACAGACAGCTCTGCGTCTGTGCTAAGCTACCGTTTGGGGTCCTTTCTCGTAGCTTGTCTTTCCTACTAGGAACACGACGGGCTGTTGGTTTTCGTACCAACACGATGCCCGGTCTCCCTGACCCCACCATGGAGGGGAGAACTGTTTTCTCCCGTTGTGCCGACCACAGGGCGTGCCCCGGTCGGGGGACGGGCACCGGGAGACCCTTCCCCAGCACTCAGGCCGTCCCTGCAGAACAACACTAAATGAGCACACGGACGAAGAGGCGGGTTTCCTTCCCCTTGTGGGAACAGTGCCGTTGCTGGGTATGGGTCACGCCTCATCTCCGGGTAGGGGTGATCCCGAGGAGGCCGGGACGAGAATCGCTAGATGTCTCGGGGCCATACCACGCTTCCTGTTCTGACCCTCGAGGTCTCACCTCTGTGGGCCGAGAACGTTCTTTGTCAGCCTTATTTCCTCCAACTCATCAGCCGTTTGGCGGCTGCAGGAAGAACAAGGCCCACATCCTGGTCTGAGTCCTGATTCTGCTCCTGCGGGCTGTGTGACCCAGAGTGCCTGATGTGCCCTCTCTGGGCCTGGTCTCGTCTGTGGGCATGCTCGTATCTACCAAGGATGTCAGGCTTCTCAAACCTTTCCTCGGTCGCCCTGTCGGCCACAGGGATGCACACTCGGGGGCACCTTTGCTGGCAGTCGAAACTTCCTTGAGATTGTATTTTTTTACCTCAAAAGAAATCTATATACATTTTGCATTCTGTCTTTTTCCATGTTGATTTTTTTTTATTAAAAAAAATTTTTTTTAATGTTTTCATTTATTTTTGCGACAGAGAGAGACAGAGCATGAGCAGGGGAGGGGCAGAGAGAGAGGGAGACACAGAATCAGAAGCAGGCTCCAGGCTCTGAGCTGTCAGCACAGAGCCTGATGCGGGGCTCGAACCCACAGACTGTGAGATCATGACCCGAGCCGAAGTTGGACGCTTAACCGACTGAGCCACCCAGGTGCCCCATCCATGTTGATTTTAATACAGGAACGTTTTTCTGCGAAGGTATAAAGAAAACCAGGGAAGGTGTGCCAAAGTCACCCCGGGGTTTCGCACACCTCCTCCCCCAAATCCAGGAGCCCCTAGGCCTGGGCTCGGCGCTCACCCTCCTGTCTCTGTGCCCCTGCCCTGACTCCTCCAGAACACACGTCCCACAGTCTACCTCTTCCTTCTGGAATGTTCTCCCAGCCCCCTGGTGGGCCTCCCTTTTGTGCAAACTCTTGGCACCTCACCTGTTCTCCTAAGACCAGCACTTTCTACTTTCTCCGAGAGCTGGGAGCCTGTCGGCTGCTCCCCACTCTGACTGCAGGCTCCAGGGGGGACCTTTCTTCTGTGTCCCACCCCCCCCCGGCCGGCACAGACCACATACGGTGTCAGGAGGGATTCCTTCTCTCCGTCCTCATCCCAACCTGCCTGGTGAACCTCCTAGCACAACTGCCCGTTCCTTGTAAGCCGACGCGTTTGTGTCACTGGCACTGTGCTGCGCCTGGACTGTGGGCCCCGAGGGCAGGGACCTTGTGTCGTTCATCATGGTCTCCTAAGCCCCTGCGGTGCCTGGCCCATAGTACGTGCCGAATGAAGGCCCAGTGGGCCGGCATCCCTGGTGTCCATGTTGGCTCCTGGGGGAGGGGAGGTCTGCCAGAGCAGGTGCTGAGTGGGGGTGGGGGGTTTCCAGCCTGAGGCTCCTTTCAGACCCTGCAGCATGGCTGGGGCCCCTGGGGGTGGGGGTGGGGGACAGTCAGCCTCAGTCAGCAGCCTGGGGTTGGGCTAGAATGACGGGATGGAGAGGTTGGTTCGAGAGATGGGGCGACGGGAGGGATGAGGGGTGGGAAGACGGGAAGGAAGACAGGGTGAGAAGCCTCTCTTGACCCAGGACTAGGAAATGCAGTGAAACAGGCATCACGGTGAGACGTTGCTGCCGTGACAGTCCCCACCAGGGATCCAGAAGACGGTCAAAGGCCGGCGTCTCGGGACAGTCTTCCTGCCCCACGGGCTCGCTGCAGGAACGTGGCTGCACGGCCCTGACCCTGTCCCTCATCTGGACGGCCCATAGGAACAGGCTGGCTGGGCGGGGCGCTCCCTTGTCCTGGGGCAGCGCTGCCCCAGGTGCCCCCTTGCTTTGGGTACCTGTCACCATGACTAGTTTCCAAGCCAAACCGAGGCCCGTAGAAGGACAAGGCAAGTATATTTGTAGGGACGGTAGGTTGGGTACAGACAACGTCGGACGTGAGGGCGTCCATCCACCTCTTCTAATCCTCGTGCTCAAAACACAAACAGCAGTAATTCTCCTGATGAAACACATTCAAAAAGCACCTTTGGTCATTTCTGTCAGTTTATGGGGCACCCATTTACATCAGACATCCTGGCCGCCATGAACCCACAGGCCACTCTAATTTATTCCCGAATTTCTCTTTTCTGACAAAGACCCGAAACTTTGTCATATGCCCCTCATTCGCCTTCCCTCCCATCAGCAGAGCCAACACTTGGAATTCTGTTGGCGGCCAGTGTCCCAAGTCTCGCTTCATGAGGCCAGCGGGACGTGGGCACTGGGCTCCTTGCCGGGCCAGGACATCCCGCTTCCTGCATCGCCGACCATGGAGGGCCCCCGGGTCCGTCCCAGGCGGGAGGGGCCACAGCCAGTCTCAGAATGGTGACACCTTGCTGTATTCAAGACTATTCTGGAAAATCCAGGACACTGTTGGGGGCAGCTGAGACTTGGAAGGGAATCCCACTCATCGCTCCCAATACACTTGACTTTGGAAGTTCCCTCCCAACCATGTGAATCCGCAACGAACGACATTCACATAGTCCTGACATAACGTGAAATAGACCGTGGCGGAACGTTTGGAATTACGGAAGAACACGGTGGGGAGAAAGGAGAGGCAGGGAGGACGGGTAAGCGCCCGTCGCTGCCAATGGGTACAAAGTGTCCCAAGGTCAGATCAAGAAGGAGCATTCTGACGTGTGTTGACAGATCTGGAGATGCTGGAAGGAAGAACTCGACACATTAACGGTGCTTGTCTGCAGGGGTTCCTCTGGATTCTTCCTCTGGGGGTGTCGGGGGGAGCTGGGAAACCGGCTTTAAAACCTACCTGAGGGCGTCGGAGAGCCACATGGAGGACCACAGGAGGGAGACCACGTTTACGTTACAACCAATTAATAATCTAACGCAGATGGGAATGAATAATCAATACATGTACATAAAATGGAAACTAAGTTCTGTCCTTGGCAGAAGACAGAGAAAATAGAATTAACTGGAATTTTAAGATTAAGCCACCCACGCAGAAAAACAACATCATTTCAGCAGACCAGTATACACGGGAAATGGTGCATATAATGTTTTGCTCAATTTTATCTTTCTTAAAATTAAAGAAACTTTTCATCTGTTTCACTTAGCAATTAAAGACTTTATTTCTCCGTGGCCACAGTCACCACACTTAGGTAGACCTTTTGAGAAATTAGACATTTTTATTTTATGGACAGACCATGGAAGGAATTTGCTACACTCTCTCGGCAGCATGGTCTGGGCGAGCAGGACAAGGAGGCTTTGTTCCTGACTTCGGGACCTGATCCAACCGGCTGGAAATGGTGTTTCTTTTCCAGCCGGACACCTCCCCTCCCCTCCCTGGGAAGGTCGACTCCCTGAGACGTGATAAGACTTCATGACATCATGTCTCATTGGGGCCCAGCACCCCCCCCCCCCACCAGGGAGCAGGTGTCCCAGCGGAGTCGGCCTGCTGCCCTGACCTGTGTCCAATGCTCAGCGGCCCTTCGGGCCTGATACTTGAGGCTGCTTTCGTGGTTTTTCCAGTGACCTTGGCCGTGGCCGGCTCTGGCTCTTCCCTGCTGCTACAGGGCCAGCGTCCTCCAGGCCCACAGGTCAGACCTGGGGAGATTTGCTAAAAGAAGTCACTGGTGTTTGTGTACTGGTCTGTGCAAAAACAAAGACCCTTTCAGAGAGGGGACCAGGAGTCACCACCAGTGCCTCTAAAGAAGGTGTCAGAGAGGAGGGAGCTGGTGTCGGGGGTCACTGGCTGGTGCAGGCACGGCCCCCAGCTGAGCCCAAGGCGGAGGTGGCCACACAGCGCCTCCTGCACGGGGAGCGGGCGAGTCCTCGCTAGCCGTGTGGTCCAGCTGCTTGGAGCGCTGGGTCTGGGTCGTTGTTCTTGTTGATTCCAACCCCCCACCCCAATTAAAGTGTGTGGAAGCAAGTAGCATGGTCCCGGCACAAAATGGTCCCGGTTGTGCGTCACCGCCAGGCGGTACTCGGAGAGGGAGCCACGTGGCACAGGCTGGCCACCAGCTTTCCAGGACTGCCGCTGTCCCTCGACTCTGGGGTAAAACTGGCCCCTTGTTGGCATGCCTGGGTGGACCAGGTGGTTAAGTGTCTGACTTCGGCTCAGGTCACGATCTCACGGTCCGTGGGTTCGAGCCCCGCGTCGGGCTCTGTGCTGACAGCTCGGAGCCTGGAGCCTGCTTCGGATTCTGTGTCTCCCTCGCTCTCTGCCCCTCCCCTGCTTGCACTCTGTGTGTGTGTGTCTCTCTCTCTCAAAATATAACTCTCTCAAAAATAAACTTAAAAATTTTTTTTTTGAAACTGGTCCCTTGTGAGGTCTCGGCCATGCCCCTGGGAATCGGAGAAGGCAATCTGTGAGCTGTTCTCTTTCTAACACACAAGCAGGTCCTCAGTGCACACCTGGATGGACCCGGGGAACGTCTTCCGGGGTCAGGACATAGAGCCCCTTCCCCCCATCACCCTGAAAGGGTGCCCGCCCACCCCGCCCCTGCCCCAGCTTGGGGGCCACTGGTTCCCGTCCACACGGATGCTCCTGTTCTACCTTCTAGAACCTCGCACAAATGGAATCACTCAGCTGACCTGCGTCTGCCTTCTTTCACTTACAGCTCGTTCAGACTCCTCGAGCTCTTCCTGCGGGCTCGTCCAGCACGGTCCATGGACTTGCCACCGTTTATTTATTCCGTCTCCTGTCGGGGCCCGTTGTCACCGAGAGAACCAGGCTGTTTCCGGAATGGCGACCACGGCTGTCACGCTGTGAGGCTCCCACCTCCCGCACCGGGTGGTCAGCCTTTCCACGGGCATGACTCAGCATCCCGGCCTTTTCCACCTGTGTTTCCCCCTGGCCCTGGTGTTGGACACCTTCCCCCGTGCGGTTACCCGTTCACCTGCATTCCGTCACCCGGGGTCTGTCCACGCCTTCTTGCGCCCATCCTAAGCGCGTGGCTTCCTACAGGTGTTCTCCGTGCGGCGGTCATACACGCATGTGAGTGGCTCGTGTCTGTTCCAGGTGACAGCTGGCCTCCTGGTTTTGTTCGCAGTGTCTCCAACGAGCAGAGGCTTTTTGTCTTGATGAAGCCAGTCTACCAACTCACGTTACGTCTGGCGCCCTTGTGGCCTGAGAAACGTTCTGCCCCGAGGTCAGAGGCTGTTCCTCTTTATTTTTGTCTAGAGGCGTTCTCGTCTTCTGTTTAAATCTGTGGTTCCCCATAGCACTTCCGGGCGCCACACAGGGCCCTGATGCGTCGTCCCTTTTCTTCCAAGAGCCCGGACCTCCGGGAGCCACAGTCTGGGCTGCAGTAAAGGCCATTCCGCTGAGCACCTGGGCTGCGTCTGCCCACAGGAGTTTCTTTCCTCCTGAGGCTACGGGCACCGGCCTCCTCCCGGGCACAGGCGTGAGCAGGCAGGCCCCGGCCCTGGCCCCTGT